CAATACAAATAACACTGAACGGCAAACAACGCATATTGCAAAACTTTGAATTCTAAGCAAATTCAGAAACGCAAGCCTTAAAAACAGTTCCATGCTTTCTAAGTTTTTTGCTATGAAGTTAAATGTATAGTGCAAGTGGATCAAGTATGTCCTTGATTCTTTTCCTGAAGTTAGGGCATAATGCCAAAAGTGACAACACACGCATTGCTTTGCTGCTTCATCTTTACCCAGGAGGAAATGTGTGGGCTTTTTTTTTACAGTGGGTAACAAAGGAAATATCGAAATAAATATTTCACAAAAACCCTTTTTTAACATATGAAGTAAACTATTCAGCAAACTGGCATTCAGTGTTGAGAAACTTTTAAAGTTAAGAACGCAGCTACATTTGCAATGTAGAACAATCAAAGCTGGTATACCTACCAAAGATCGTCGCATCTGTGTTAATATACTCATAAAGCAATCAAAGCTGATCATCCCTTCTGGACTTTGCAGCAACTTGGTTTTCTCCATGGTGTTTACTACAGCTGAAGCACCTAAAGCCATTTCTATCCATTCAAGAAGATATCGCAAGGCACCTCGTTGGGCAGCCAAACCAAGAAGCAATTCAGAAGCTAATCTACGACCTAAAGTGTCTGCCCCAGAGTTTGGAATTGTTACTCCTTTAAGAAATATTGTTACTTGTGATAAACAGTCCAACCCCATTGGTGGAATCTTGCTTTCATTTGCTAAAGATAAAGGTGGTAAAGAGCTCACGACTTCTATTGCAGTGTGGATAACATCATTGCAAAGACTGAGGCCAGGTCCTGACGCAGGCATCATCCAACTTTGTCTTAGCAGTGCAAATAACAAGCTTAATCCAGTCCGAACCCCCATTTCTATGAGTGCATCTGTACTTGACCTAGGACGTTCACTGACAGAATGCACATCTGTTGATCCAGAACTGCTTTCTGGTGAATGCTGCTGTTGTTTCACCTTACCCTTATCATGATATTTATTAGAAAGTGCATAGAAGACACGCTGCAACACAAGGAGACGTTTTCGAAGTGCTCCAGCAAATGGAGAGTCTGAGCATACCATCTTTGCCAGTGCCAGCTGGCTGCTAAGAAGGGCATCCAAGTAGTGGTCCTGTTCATCACTAGATAGAGATTCCCGCTCAAAATCTGGTAACTGAGGTCCTTTGAGGCACAGAACCTGCTGGGGCAATGGCACTACTTCTTTATTGCTGACTAACTTAGCGTACAAGACAGAAACTCCTTCCCTCGTTGCAATAGACTCACTGTCTTCTGTGATCCAGGAGCTGTTTAGATGTTCAAGCCATTTCAGCTTCACAGGTGGGACCATAGCTGCCATGTTGGCTTACTCCTTTGCCATTAGTCCTGAAGACAAAAAAACCTGTAAATAGGTGTGCAATATTATCTACAGAATTTATTACTCACAGTAGGACAAATCCTAATAATCCTTTAAGAAAGCAAGTAGCAAAAGATTCATCACAAAAACCAAAAAGATATCAATTACCAAAGTTCCACCATTTTATTCATAAGTGCTGCAACCTGGAATTCAGATCAAATACTAACAGAATAGTTTAGGAGTGGCATAAAAAAGACATTTTGCAGATCAATGTTTACCTTCATTTTAAACAAGTAAGTACATGTATATGTGCAACTTCCTTAATACCATGTAAGAATTTTAGTGTAAGTCTACATTTTCTAAATCCATATGCACAAAAATTCACACAAAGCAGATTTAATTCTGCTGTTTCAATGAAAATACACTTTTAATATTCTCTAGAAAAAAATAACTTTCTCTCTGCAGGCAGTGAAACTGAGGACAAAGACTTGAAAAAATGCACAAGATCATACACAACTGCGTACAAGTGAAAGGAGTACCAGTGTAAACCTTCGTCTTACAGTAAATAAGACTATTAATTCAGGCCATAACTCAAGGCTCAACCTGTCAAACACATTTTTAAGTCCTGCTGTC